CAGAAGTTCCACCCAAAATCATATATTGGGCTCCTGTGGTGGACTTGGAGCTAATATTCTTCATAGTAGCTAGTGTGGGGCTTTGCTTTGGATTTGTACTCAAAACAGTGTTGATCATCCTAGAATACTTTGGGTTGAAATGGACCTTAAGGATCATCTAATTCCAACCTCCTGTCATTGGCAGGGACACCTCCCACTAGACCAGCTTGCACAGAGCCCAATCCAACCTCGCCTCAAACACTTCCAGAGAATGGATCAGCCACAGCTTCTCTGGGCAACCTGTGCCTGTGAAAACCAAGTTGTTCTTGTCACTGCTGAGCAATGCTCACACAGAGCCAAAGCTTTTTGCTGCTCCTCACCAACCCCACCAGTGAGGAGTCTGGAGGTGTACAAGTGTGGAGCTGGAAGGGGACACAGGCAGAATAGCTGACCCCTCATGACCCAAGGCATGATCAGCATGTATAGCTGGGGCTAGAAGAAAGGCTAGAACATTGGTAACCATGGCATTTGTCATCCCAAGCCATCCTTACACATGATGGAACCCTGCTGTCCTGGAGTTGAACATCTGCCTGGCCATGGCAAGTAGGGAATGAATTCCTTGTTTTGTTTTCCCTAATAAACTGCCTGTCTCAGCCCACTGTTTTGGTCACTTTTATCCTTCTCATTCTCTCCTCCACCCCACCAGGGAACAGTGAGAGAGTGGCTGCACAGGGCTGAGCTCCCAACTGGGGTTAAATCAGAGCCGTTGCTTTTTAATAAACCCTACAAAAAACAACTTGCTTCTGGAGGCATATCAACTAGCAAATTTTGTGAGTTAACACTGCCACCATCTTGACAGGCACTCCTTCCTAAGACATTCAAGATGGTCAAAACTGCAACCCTAGTCACAACATTGTACTTAAAGCAAGAATAGGCACCCATAAAAGATAATTATTCTTCATAAAATAAAAGTCTTCACCAGATAACTATAGGTCATATTACTTTTTTTGGTTGCAACTTTTAAACGAGCCACCAGCCAGAAAAATTAAACTATTTTATCACAGAGCTTTTATAAGGAGCAGACTATTTCCAGATCTATCAGCTTATCCCACTATTCAATAGTGATGAGTGAAATCAACACCATATAATCTTACTTTCCCAATCAAATATGTTATATATTACCCACTAAATCCCAACCTGTGTACAGATGGTTAAAGCAACGAACGTGCTACTAATACAGGTTAAATTGATATCTCAATTAATCAGACTTCTATTGAAAAGTATTCCTACCTGAGCACTGCTGTCTTCAGTATTTGCCTTGATATTCTAAGTTAAGGAGAAGTAATACAGCAAAGTTCAAATGCTGTCTATGTGATAACAAAAATCTAAAAATCCTCTAAGAAGTAACTGATAGCTTCCTAGCTGTCAGCATTTGCTCAGCATCCCTTCCTGTATGGAAAGGGTATACCTTGCTTCCTTTATAATGAGCAAGTACTTTGCTCTACTTGTTAACAGAAAAGAAAATATGACTGTTATACAACTACTGAACAACATCCAAACTTAAGCTCCTTGTTCTCTTGGGGCTCCTAATATAAAGGAAGTAACTTCTGCTGGCATCTCCCAAGAGCAACTCTTCAGACAAGACAATATAGGCCATGCTTAAAAAAAACCCAAAGAAAAAAAAAGGCACTCAAACCCCCCACGTTGTTAAAATACTGAGCATCAAAACATTTTTCAAGATAATTAAGGAAATCCTCAAACTACTGATTCCCTTACTTGATTGCAAAATTAACATGAAGAGAAGTTACAAATAGGTGTTATGTTGCAGTTAAGATTTAAAACTTACTCTGATTCCTAAAAAATTCAGGAGAAAAACCCCAACACTTTCAGGCTCTATAGCTAATTCCTTAGATTTTATTATGTCACTGCAAATCCACTGTCAAGCAAGGCTCGTATCAAAAATGAAACTAACAGTACACTACAAACTAATATCAAAATCCTTTTGCATTCCAAGGGAAACTACATACAGTTGTAAATAACAGATGTTCAGAATAAAAGAACGCCTTCAGTTTTCCATCAGTGTTTATCAACTTTATGACTTGTACCCTTAAAAACACCACCTTGAGGGCTACTTGAAGTAAAAACCATGCAGTGGAACCTAGTCACTGCATCCATTTTCCCAAAACTGTAAAACACACCAGGTAATGGTGTGTACCACAGCCCAAGACCAGAAGATGCCCAACGCGCTGGTTTTATCAAAGGAAAAGATATCCAAGACACCCACCAAATATCAGACAAAACATTGAGAATTATCCAAGTTTGTTTTCCATACCTCCACACTTTCTTTTTCAGAGATGAGAATTATCTCTACAATTACATCAGCTACACCAGGCACAAGCAAAGAACCCCAGTACTTCAGACATTACACTTTCAGAAGCTGCATCCGCTCTCATTTATGGGGGACTGTTTCAAAGCAGGGAAAATAACCTGTCCCGTGCCAAACGGGAAAGGTGATACAAAGAAAAGTTTAAAAATTAACAAGTATCAAACCAACCCATACAGCAAACTCCAGAACACAAATGATTTGAAATCTTTTTAGAAAAGAGACATGCAGTACACACCACCCCGTTGACAACCCCCATTATGCAATTAAAAGTCATCAGGAATTATGGTGTTTGAAATTTTTTTAATAAAATGCATGCTTTTAAAACACAGGGCACTATCTCACCGTTTCAGTTTAATTTATTTTGCAGTTCACACAACTAAATTACTCTTATGTATCCACTCACTTCGTGCCACACAAGTAAGAACATTAAGTTTTCTTTGCAAACACCACTTTAAAATGACTGTTTTAACTTAAAATTCAAGCTTTTAAATGTGTTGGTGGTTTTTATTAATAAGTTTTTCAACAGCTCAACAAAACATTTTTTCTAAACAGTTTCTCGAAAATGAGACATCTCTATAACAGAGAGATAGATACAGGAGCGGTGGAGAATTGAATTTAAATGTAAGTTTTCCATAAAACGAACCCTGTTTTAAGAATTTTGTAGATTTCAGCTGTCTCTTTCGTATTGACAAACAAGATCAGGAGAAAGCACATTAATCATGTTTCATTCTGTTTCAGCAGTGGCTGATGTGAATTCACAGACAGGACAGCTGCACTTAGCAAAATACAACTTCCTTTATATGAGGAAACACCCACACGCCGATTGAATCACAGAACCCCCCATTCCCCGTCCCAGACAGGGTGGGTTTGGTGGGGAAGGAGGCGAGAGCGAGGTTGTTTTGGGGGAAAAGCAGGGGCTGCGGGACCACGAGCAGCCCTGAGCCGGGCTCCTCCAGCAGCAGGAAGTTTCCGAGGGGCCTCGCCGAGCATGCGCCGTGAGCAGCACGGGCTCCCTATGTGGCAAGAGTGCAGAGGCAACAACCAAACGAATAACAGAGACAAGAGATCAAGAGCAACAAGCTCCCTCCCCTCTGTATTCCTGCGGCCGCCCCCACTCAGCCCTCCTTCCCCAGGCTGCTCTCTCGGCCCGGGCCCTCCCGCATCCATCGCGGGCAGCTGGGATTAGGGAGTCTGGCAACCAAACCCGCTACTGGAGAAGGAGGAGAGCAGAGCAGAGCGGCTCGAAAGCCAACAGCGGAGTGCAAAACCTATCCCTCCAGCTCGCACGTCTCAGGTGGCGGCGGGGGAGCAGCAGCGAGCACACAGCCTGTCCCCCCCGCAACTGGAAGAGGGGACGGGGGAGGAGGAGGGGGAAGAGGGATGGAGGTGGCACACAATGGCTGGCTGTGTTGGTGGGGAGGAGACGGCCCGCAACAGCAGCCGTGGGGGGGCTCAGGGCTTCTCCGTGACCCCCATTCCTCATCCCAGGTACACCGAGGTGAAGGGGAGTCACTGGGGATCGGGACATTCCCGTGTGTTTGTGTATGTGTGTGTGCCCTTCTTGTTTCGGGGGAGAAGTAAAAACGGGCAGAGATAGTGGGGGGAGGGGGGGAAGAGGCTGTGAAGCGCCCCCCAAGCTGGGGGGAAGGGAGGAGGTGGAAGAGAGACCGGCTACCAGCGCCAAGCTGAACGAAAATAGTTATTTCGTCTTATGCCTGTTTTCTGCAAGGAGTCCCACCCGCAAAGAGCTCGGGAACGAACCCAGGGAAACGGGGGGGGAGGGAGGGACGGAGGGGGGGGTCACAGGCGGCACTGAGAAGGAGGAGAGGGGAAGGGGAAGTCCCCCACCTCCTTCCCATGCCCGCCGCGGGGGCAGGCAGCTTTCCCCCCAGTATACACACACAAATAGCTGCTTCCCCCCGAAAAAACAGGGAGGGCTCCCCTCCCCCCGGGAATCCCAGGCCCCTCCTCTCCCTCGGCGCGCTCCACCCCCGGGGCCGGGAGGAGGCGGGGGGGGGACAGCCCCGGCCCCCCCTCCGCCCCCCGGGCCCCCTCGGCCGGCCGCTCCGCAGCGGCGGGCGGGAGAGGCAGCGCAGCCGCTTACCCTGGTCTCCGGGCTCCTGCGGCGGCTGCAGGACGCGCTCCAGCTCGGGGAAGGGCAGCTCGGGCAGGTCCAGAAGGGCCCCGTAGCGCTCGAGGAAGGAGCAGACAACGGCGAAGTTGGGCCAGGAGCCCGGGCAGCGCGGGCCCGCCGGAGCAGGGGGCGGCGGGGATGGGGCCGGAGGAGCCGCCGCCGCCGCCGCCGCCATCTTGGACCTGGGGATGGAGAAGGAGCTGGGGAGGGGGAGGGAGGAGGGGGCGCTGCCGGGCCGGGCCGCCACTATCCCACAATGCACCGGGGGCACGATGAAGGCAGGGGAGGGCAGGGGGCGGCGGCCAGAGCGGCGCGAGCCGGCTCCCCTCCGCCGCGCGCGGCGAGGGGGAATGAAAACAAGGCGGGGCGGGGGCGGGGACAGGCCCACAGACCGTCCAATCGGAAGGGGCGGGGGGCGGGGCCGGCAGGGAGCGCTGCCCAATGAGAGCGCTGGAAGCGCGCAGGGCCCGCCCCGTCCCCGCGGGGCCGGGCGCAGGCGGAGCCCGGCGGGGCGGCGGGGTGGCGCGCGCGGGGCGGTGAGTGCGGGCGCGTGACGGGCCCGCGGCGTGAGGGGAGCCGGGCGTGAGGGGAGCGCGCGGCGCCGGTGCTGTCACTGTCCTTGTTCCTTGTGTCCCGGCCCTTATTCCTTGTGTCCCGGCCCTTGTGCCCCGGCACGCCAGGCCGTGCTTTGGGGGGTCCTGGACTGATCTTTCCCTTCCCACATCCGTCCCTCCACCCCTCCCGCCGCGCTTCTCAGCGTTCCCTGTCCTTGTCTCCTTGCCTCTCTCCGCTGTATTCACAGCCTGCTGTTCCCCCTCTTTCACTGCCAGATTCCCGTGACCTCTCCGGTTGACTGCCGTCACAAGGGTCCCCAGCGAAAAGGAACTGCCGAATTCCCAAAGTGTGTTTTCCTCCTGCGTGAACTTGACACCTTCCCCCTCCCTAAACAGTTGGTCTGAGCTTCTCCCGTCCTTTCTGTTTGCCTTGCTGCTGTCAGTTTTTAACCCTGACCTTCCTCTGGCTGCTGGATCCCCTGGAATAATGGGAAGCCGCCCGCCCCCTGACCCTGCTCCCCGGCAGCGCTGGAGAACCACGTTGTCTTCTGGCACCTTACAAGCAATTTGTTCTGTCCATAACTTCACGTACACCGATTTACTCTTCCCCTTGTATCCTCTTCAGTCTCAGGTTGCCCCTTGGATTTTAAAAACATCTTTTCCTTCTGCAGCGTCTCAATAAAATTATTTGGTGCACTGCTCTCGTTCACCTCTTTTATTCCATTTGTCGCTGGTTGCCTCCACAGAAGAAAGGTATGCTGGCAATCTTAAAGTCCACCAGCTTGCCCAACTGCAATTCAATCTCAGCTTTCTTCCGCTTCCTTCTCAGCTGCTTTTGTCTTCTGCCATCCTTATCCAGCACTTCATTTCAGTATAGTCTCCTAGCATAAACGTGCATTTTGCCTCCTTTTAAGTTCTACTTCCTTTATTTCTGATGTTCTTAAACTCTCATGATTTCACTTGTAGAGTCCTGAGCCATTTCTGCTCCTCATCTCTTTGTGTTTGAACTGCTGCAGTTTTCAGAAATTGCAGGTTTAGGTTGTACTTGCAAGTCATTTAATTCAAGGCGTCTTCTGATATTAAGTGTTAATGTATGTTTTGATACTTCACATTTCTCACGGTGAATAATTTAAAAAATAATTTGTTTGAGAACTATTTTCCTGCTCCTCAGTGTTTGCACCGCACTCTTCATTAAAGGATGCCCAAAGTTTCTATCAATGAGTTCATTCTTACTCAAAGATACTCTTATTTATTCAAGTGACCTGACCTTACTGATAATCTCTGGCAGTATTATGGGAAAAGGTTTTACAGGATAATTTTTTATTTGTGCGTTGTAAGTTTGTTGCTTCATTTCTGCTATTTACTTATTTTTATGCTGTTTGGAAAACATAGCATGAAATCCTTGCTCTCCCATTTGCAGTTTGTACCTGTTTGATTGCACAGTTCCAGCCTTGTGATACTGTTTGGATTGGGGAAGGTGATATTCCTGATCATCTTACTGTTCATTCACCTCTGTCTAACCTCCAGGTCTAATTCTAACATTTCATCTGAAAAGTAGCATGGGCAAAAATTATTTTCATTCTTCAGAGGCCAAGTTCTGGGTGCTTTATTCAGCCTTTAATTTCATTCTGTTGGGACTACTGCTGGTTGTTTCTTCAGCTAGAATATCCCTTCAGGCAGACCTTTGAAAAATAATCATACAAATCTTTGTTTGAAACCATTGCATCATGGATGTGCAATGAGAGAATCTAGACTGTATTAGTCCAAGCAAGTTTTAGTCCCCTCTAGCTGTTTGACAGGACACATGTGCCACTAACATCACGCAGGAGTGAGAAGAAAAAGAATTGCCCCACTGTCCTGTGTGAGAAGCAACTCTGTCAAACTCAGTCCTGTGCTGAATCCAAAGTAATGCATTTTGTCCTTCATGCAGTGTTTTAGATGGGATGCTGAGATCCGCTTCTGGCAGTCAATCCAAGGAGAGCACATCCTGTCTGGCAGTGCTGCATCTTTTGTAGCACGTGCAAGACAGGAAGGGTGGCTTCCAGGAGGACTGGAAGCATGGTCATCCAAAGATTTATCTCTTGCATGGGCAGTGCCTTTAATCTGTGCTGCCAGCATTCATAATGAATTTAAACTATTCAATTCCCGGCAAATGTAAACAATTGAAAAATAAAGGATGAGAATCTGTGTATCTGGAAGGATCTGCCACAGAGATGTTTTGGATTAGGCAGAGGTGGACCTCTTTTTACTGGAGAAACATCAAGTTTTCTTCAAAAAGTGGATTTCAGACCATGTGAATTGGAAGGGTGGAAAGGTGGCTCTGTCCTGGCACTGTGTCAGTAGACTGCCATGCTAGGCCAAAGCATTTCCAGGGTGTCACCACCCTGTGATTCCTCTCTTTCTGTTCACTGCCAGAATCACCGCAGCAATCAGACTGCAGTACCTGAGGGACTGTGAGGAGGGGAAAGCTTCTGCAGGGACCTGACACGAGGCCTTCCTTGTGAGGCAGAGTCCCTGCCCTGCTGGTGCCCAGCAGACATTGTGGCAGCAGATCCCAACAGCACTGTGGCACTCACCAAAAAGCAGTGGGCTACAGAGGCACTGATAAGGCTCTGTCAAATTCTAGGCAACAGACATCAAAGGAAGATGTGTACCAGTGGCTGGCTGCTAAAGGAAAGAGGGACAAAATAAGTAGAGGCTTAGAAAACATGACTGAAGGGATAGTTATTTAATCCAAATGAAATAAAAGAAAAATACTGAGTGAATTCCTCAAGAAAACAGAAAGAAAAAAGGTGAAAAAGACAAAGATTAAGCTGTTCTATTTGTCCCCAGCAGAAAGGATTTTAACTAATGGATTTAAGTTGAAACAATGAAGATGGAGGTCAAACAATTAGACAAGTTCTTATTTGGATGTGTAATCCTGGGAGACTTGGTCTCTGTCATCAGTGTCTGGGGGAAGGCTCAACCCCTTTACATCCCTGAAAGTCTTGTTCTCTGTAGCAGTGTGACAGTGACACTGGTTCATGGCTTTACTATTGGGTTTGTTTGGCATTTCCTTTTAATTTCATTTACCACTTCAATGGTAAAAAATAAAGTGGTCAATGAAATAGTGCAGATTTCTGATATTTTAGGAAATTATTATCATCCTCATTGTTCATTTTAGGGAGAAGATTAAAACCCAGATGTGAGAGGATATTCTGGGACCTGATCCCTGTTGATAGTTTTAAAAGTTGAACATCCAATACTTGAACAGATTTAGCATGTAAAATGGTTTGCCCAAAATCGTGCACAAAATCCCCAAGAGGACTGGTAATTCAACAAATCTGCTGATCCTCAGTTCAAGTCTGTTGTCACAAAACCACGTGGATAAAGTCTGTAACAGCATTTCCTTCCTAGCTTCTTGGGGTGAGGACAGAATTTTCCATTTTTATTGACGTGCTGCATATGTTCGCCTGATGTTAAGTATTAAATATCCTTTTTCCAGACTCTGGTTGAACTTTGTGATGTCTTCCCCTGAAATTGCTTCCCTTTCTTGGGGTCAGATGAAGGTGAAAGGCTGCTCTACAACATACAAGGACTGCAAAGTATGGCCGGGAGGAAGCCGGACGTGGGATTGGCGAGAAACCGGGACCAACGTAAGTTTGGTGTTTACTACACTGCATTTAAAACAGGATTCTGAGTGTGGTCCAGAGAACAGTGTGAAAGTTCCAGCCAGAAATTTAGTGAGCTGCCTTTTTCTTTCATCTAGCTGGTAGATTTTCCTGGGAAGAACTGAGTGTGTGTTTTGGAGGTGACTTTGTGGAGGGGTCAGACGGCTGCAGTCCCACTACATCCTACATGCAACAGGGCACTGCGACGGTTGCCCTGAGTTCTGACAGCCACCCTCACCAGACAACTTTCACATACCCTAGAGCTCTCAAACAATATTCCTCATCTGCTTAAGAGTGCAATTGTCAAAAGATACCTCAGACTGTCTAAACAGACTGTCTAAACAAAAGTTATCTTGAGTGAGATAGGAAATTATCAAAAGTAAAAAAAAAAAAAAAAATAGTAACTGAGTTTGCATTTTTGGAAGACAACATTGCATGTGGTTTAGTTTTTATCCTTTTCCTTGGGGTCCCTTGTACATATTTCAGAGGAAAAATATGCAGATACAGTGTTTCTTGCACTATTTTCTCTGTGAAAAGCTCATGGTCTGGCTAATCATACAGTGACTTCTCTTGGTAGCCATATACTAAGTGCTTGCCTTTGTAATTTTTAAAGTTTATCTGTAAATCCAATCAGAATTGGATGAAAGTACATGTAATAGTATTGTTACTTCATATTTAGAAACAGTATAGGATATATTGCAATGGGAACTTGATGTTGATAATTCTGATAGTTCAGTTTATGCAGAATATATAACACCAAGAGAAAAGTGCTGCTGTCATGCAAAGGTAGCTGCACCTTGCAGAGAAAAAGGTAGCTGTGTACATAACGTTTTAAAATGTGTTTCATTTATGGCCTGGTTATAAAAAAAATAAGTTTTCACTGGCTGTTGAAAGGGCTGGGTTTTGTGGTGAGAGTTGCTGTCCGCTTGTTTGACAATATAATTTTTGTGCTTTATATGCACATAGCTGGAGAAGCAGAACAGGTAATGATAGCTGAAAAGTTCCCAACTAGTTCCCAGCCCAAGCACGTTTTTATATTTATTCCAACCACTGAAAAACTTTGGTTTCAAATTACAGGCACTTACTAACATTTAGGAGGCTGTGCTTTCTTTTGAAAGTTTCTAACAAGGAATATCCTCTTGTCACAAGTAAAACATTTAAATCCATAAGTCTTTAGAGGACTTGAAAAACAAGTCAATGTTAAATTAAAACTGGAGGAGAAAAAGAATAGTTGGGTTCTCTGGAGAGGTAGGTTTTCTGGCATCCTTTTTATTTTTTCAGGAAGTAAAAAATAAAAAAAATATCTAAAGTAAGGGCTTATGTAAATTGCTTGTAAAGTTCCTGCTTTAGGTCAGTTCTATCCTTGCAGCTGAGGAGTGAGTGATTTTCTTTTAAAATAAATAGCAAACAATAAATATTAAGAATAGAACTAAGCTTTTTCTCCAATGTTGAGAAGAACTGTCAAAAATTTAGTTTTGTCAGCACTGGAAACAGTAGGATTCAACAGCTGCATTTTCTGCCCAGTTTTTTAAAGATGGACAACAATTTGCTTACTTTCCTTAAGCATGTTTTTCCTGGAGGTAGCTGGAACTGAAGTGTGAAAAACAAGCAGTGCTGGTCATGTCCCACACTCTAGTTGGAAATAAATTGCTTCCTTTCCTCCTCTGCTGTCACGCTGCTGTCTAGTAAAGCATTCTTTCATCAGGAAAATTGTATTACTGGCCCTGCAAGGTTCTGTAACTGAGCACTAGCAGTTATTGTGGCCTTAACCCTTGGGGATGAATGGCACCCTCTCTCCCTGGCTGGCTGCCTTTCAGTGCCATCTGCTAATGGCAGAAGAAAAGACTTAGGTATTGCTGAAATGAAGGCCAGAGAACAGTACAGGCAAGAAAATCTGCTGTCAAATCAACAATGATACAGTGACTTCATCATGTTAGGTATTTCCTTTAGTAACACTAGTTTCTTACTAGCATCAAAGTGTCCTGTGTAACCAAAGAAAATCCTTTTGTTGCATGGCTTTAATGTCTCAGGAGTGCTTCTCACGTGACAGCAAACCTTCCTCAGAATTCTAATTATTGTAATTGCAGTAAAACATACCAATTCTTCTTGTCTAAGTTCTCAGTCTACTTAAAAAACCCCAAAGGAAAAGCATTGCCTATTCCATCATAAACAAGTACTTAGAGTGATTAGGTCTGAGAAAGCTCTGCCTATTCAAGTGAGTTCTGCATTCCAGGTGTGGATATGGAATGTAAATGGACTAAGGGGAACACAGCCTTTGGTCCTGGCAGCCCAAAGGGCCAGACATGTCCTGGAGTGTGTCAGGCACAGCACAGCCGAGGGAGGTGCTTGTCCCACTCTGCTCTGCACTGGAGCAGCCCCACCTCAAGTTGTATGTGCAGTTTCGGGCACCTCAGCATAAGGAGGACATCAGACTGTGTTCCAAGGACGGAGGTGCAGATGCTGAAAGGCCTTGAGGGCAAGGCTTATGAGGAGCAGCTGAGGTGATTTGGCTTGTTCATCTTGGAAAATACGAGGCTGAGGGGTGACCTCATCACAGTCTACACGTTCCAGAGGTGGGGTAGCAGAGGGAAGATGCTGATCTCTCTGGTGACCAGCAGTAGGACCCATGGAAATGCAGTCAAGCTTCAAGGAGACATTCAGATGAGGGTGCTCAGGCTCTGGAAAAGGCTCTCCAGGGAAGTGGTCACAGAGCAAGCTTGTCAGAGTTCCAGAAGCATCTGGATGATGCTCTTAAGTTGTGGTTTAGCTTTAGATAGTCTTGTGAATTATTCTCATGTGTCCCTTCCAACTTGAGGTGTTCTATGATTTTGTGAACTTGAAGAACCATAAAGGTAAATCATCTCTGTTACTGAAATTTTAGAAATCAGCCATCCTAAAGACTTTCTTGTGGAATAAGTTTAATTCACTCATTGAAAGTGGCACTCTACCATGGAAGGCTTTTTATACCTGCAACTTTAGGAGCTCATTTGTTTCTTTCAGCTTGGAAGGTCTTACTTGTTCCATTCTTCATGAGTCCACCATGGTATTACCTACTTCAAGTGAGAAACTCAGACCTCTTGGAAACTTCAGAACTTCAGAATTCTATTAAAAAAAAAAAAAACCCAACAAAAAGAGGGGGGAGGATAAATAATATTTATGTTTTAAAAATAAAAACATAAACACACCAAAGAAGGACCAAATTATAGCCATAGGATGTCCAGTATCTTACTCTTCACCACATGGAGATACATAGAAACTGAATCCAGGAGGAGAATTAGGGTAACATAATAATGTTTTATATTAACATTATAGATGTGTTTATGCATTTATATGGTTAAATAGCAGTAAGTGGGTGTACTTTTTAAAACATCTGTTAATGTGCTGTGCAAGTTCCTTCTTTCTCTGAGGCATCTGGATTCAAATATTCTTTTCTCAAAATAAAGAATAATGCATAAATCCAAGCTGTTAACTGAAATTACACTACCCAATAAATTTCAGTCATCTTTGGTGAGATCTGCAAAGTAAACAATAAAATTATTTAATAATTTTAACTATCTGAGGAGTTCTTTGTATTTAAAGTGAGTAAACTTTGGCTTGCAATCATCGTTCTTTCAAGTAGATTTTTGTTATTTTGAAATCATATAGCAGTATTGTTGCAATTTATTGATTTCATGCTGTTAATATTTATAAAATGCCAGAAGTTAGACATAAATGTTTTAAATTTATAATGCATCTTTTTTGTTTTGGCTGTTTAATAAGGAAGTATAATCTTGCCATTCGTCAATTAATTATCATCCTTCACTTGCATATTAAATACCTTTTTCAGTTTCAAATGTTTTCTACTGTGTGTATGTACAGAAGAGAGTTGTGTTACATTCTGGACCTGCTAATTTACCCTGCTGCTCTGTGTTCAGGACACACAGACACAGCTTTCCTGGCTGATGCTGTCAGAACACAGACTATTGTTTTCCTTCCCTGACACTTAGCATTCTCCAGGAGTGCAGCCAGCTGACCTTGAAGAAGTCGTCAAGAAGGGTGTTCAAACTGTGGTGATTGGTCGTGGCATGAGTGAGGCTTTGCAGGTAGGTTTTTGTTCTGTGACAAGCATAAAGAGAACTGTTTCTTTTCCCTCTCCCTCTGATTAGGAGGAAAAAAATTAAATCGATGATGCTTCACTGAGAGGGAAAAAAATGAGGATCAGTGTGAATGAGCACCTGTCAGGGGTCCCTCAGGTCCTGAAAGAAACATCATTTGAGCTCCTCTGTATTAGTGTCCATGACAAGCAATAAACAGGTTTATGTTCTGCTACAGGAGCAACTAAAACAAGAATTTTTCAGATTGTCTTTTGTCCCCTCCTCTTGCAATAGGTTGTAACTGGCTTTTTAGCATGCTGAAAATACTTTGGTAATTAGGTATTCTTGACACAATTGTTGCCAGGTATCATTTCAGCAGATAAACTCACTACAGAAAGCTCAGATCAGAAGTGCTGAGCTTTACTTGGTGAGAAGCAAATCTCTTGCTTTCTGGTGGGATGAATAACACCTTCTTTAGATTAAATTCCTTTAGTTCCAATTCTATTTATTTTTGTAAGAGAGGACTGTATTTTAAAGTGTGTTAAGGAGGTAGGGGAGGTGTGTGTATAAAAGTAGCTTTATTGCAGAGAAAAAAAAATTAAATCAATCTTAGAACTATCTGAGCATTGTCATTTTGGCTACTGGCAGTTACTTAAGTCATGTTTAACAAGTGGCATCAGTTTCTGGTTTTCTACAAGTCTTACAGTTTAAGGGGAAAATAATCTGATTCTTGCTTCTGTGATTTCCTTTTGTCTTCCGAGGTTCCAGCATCCACTGTGGAGTACCTGAAGAAGAACGGGATTGACGTGCTGGTGCTGCAGACGGAGAAGGCCGTGGCAGAGTACAATGCCCTGGCTGCTCGGGGTGTCAAAGTGGGCGGGGTCTTCCATTCCACCTGCTGAAGCGCAGCTCCCGCCGCCTGCCCGGCCCGCAGCCGAATCACGGACACACCTCTGCTGAATCAAACTGCACTCCGCCGAGTGTGAACTTACGTGCCAAGCCATTTGTGCACTCACAATCTAAAATGCAAAGATAGTGTATTAGTTCGGGATCTAAACAGAACGAGGGCTCACAAAAGGCAGGGCTGTTAATGTAATTAAATCGTTTAATTACAGAATCATTTCCATGTATTGTTGAGATTGACCTAATTTTCCTCTGAAGGCTGTCCATAGTCTTGTTACTTAACTTTTCACCTGTTGACTAAATTAGGAAATTATGTTTTGAATACTTTTATTACATTACTGGCCCAAATTACATTACTGGCTACTGGAACGCAGCCATAAAATAGCTAATGAGCACAATCAAATGGCAGATATGAAGTGATGGCAAAGAAGCACTTTACCACCACTGGATAAATAAATTAAAAATAAAATAAATTAAAAAGCAAACCCAGAACATACAACTTTACCTTCTGCAGGTGACCTCAGTCAAGGTATTTGCCAATTTATGAACATCACATAATAGAGCACTTTTATATTTTTATTGAACCTAAAAAAGGGGAAAATGTATAAGCATAAAACCTGGGCCTTAAAACATTTTCTTATTAATTTCCAGTTGTGAGGATTGAGTTGTCTAATACGTTATCTATTGAAAAGTCCCTACATGCTTAAAATAATCAGAAAGGTGTGTTACAAAACTAGAATTTGTAGCATAAAACATTGATCTTTAGGAAATCATTCTGAATTGCTGCTAGCAAGGCACTGCTGGCAAGCTGGGGATGCATGTGAGACTTGTTACATGTTAGACTTGTCATGTTAGACTTGTCATCATTATCTGATGACTTAAATTTTGTGCCAACAAACATTATTACACTAAAGATTTAAACCTTACACTATTACACTAAAGATTTAAAGTTCTCTTGGTTGCTGTTTTTGGTGGGCCTTTATCAATATTGCCAGTTACCAGTTACCTACTGTTGATTTTTTTCCCACCAGGCCCACCAATTCTTACTCTGTGCATATTAATTCTGTGTGTATTAATGAAAGTACCAAGATGAAGCTGTAAAAGCCCTGAGGCACTTGGAGCTATCCAAGCAGTTGTAGAGAGCCTTACACTGATAGGAGAGCACAGTAACTTTCCCAAGATGCACAAAATACTATGTTCTTTTTCTGCTATTTGCTCTCGAAATAATTTAAATCTTTCATCTGCTAAAATACAAAGCAATGTAAAAGCAAAGGGAAAGTGAGTACTTGAAAGTTTTATCTTGCAATCTCCTAATGACAGCAATGTTTTTTGTTAGTGTAGCTACATTTGAGGCAAAATCTTACATAACCCAGCAGGAACTGCCTTTCCAGCTGCATCTGTGTTGTCTGACACAGCAGCTGGTATAATGCTCAGAGTAGCTGCTGTGACATTTTTCTGCACAACTTGTCTGGTGTGAAGGAGAAGGTGAACTACTGACCCAGAAGACTGTGGTCACCCCAAGGGAATGCCAGCAGAACGAGTTCCTGCCAGCCCACAGAGTGGAGACTTTTTGCACTAAATATTATCTGATAGTGAAGGTGGTTTGACTCTCTTGATCGTGGTCATGTATTTGTGTTATTTTACAAGCTTCTGGGCCTTAAGGCAGCCTCAAATGGGAAAAGGCTTTGTAATGCTTTGGCTGAGAGGACACTGCAGTAATTTAAAAAATGGAACCATGGGCATTACACATTAGGAGAAGTTGAGCAAACCCCTTATCTTTCTCCTCCAGGTCTGTTTTTTACTTTTTTTTTTTGGTAACATATTTTCATGTTAATGTGGCACGTTAATGGTGATGCCACATTCACCAAAGCTGCATAGCTCAGGTCCTGTATTTGAGACAAATACAGTGGGCTCCTAACACTGCTGCTGCCACACGATCTGTCCTCCCAAAAGGCATGTGGGGAACAGAGCCTGTTTTGCATTGCCAGGTGACTGAGGTGTACCCTACCCAGCTTTGTGCTGCAGCCTCGTAATTCTTCCCTTAATTTGGCAACTGGTAGGATTCAGAAGATTCCACTTCCAAAGCAGGGAGCTGCAGTGTGCAAAGAAATGGATTTATTTTTTAAAGGTAAACTGTGAAGTTTCACCACCACCAGTACAAAATACTGGTGTCAACAAAGAGGTCATCTGCTGCAAGTTTTTCCATCCATGTCTTCTCTTGCTGCTCTCGTCACAGCTTCCTGAGTCAGCACTGTCAGTTCCCACAATAGCATCTGTTCCACTTGGGCTGCTCCAGTCACTGAAAGCCCGATTTCCTTCTTGGTGCCTGAAATTGCTTTGCTAGATGGTGGAAGCAGCTGGGATTGATTCATCAAAAAATTCCAGCAGAGCTCAAACTGGTATCTTTGTGAAATTGCTGCTTTCAGCTAGAGCCATAAATAATTTGTTAAAATTGCGGGCTCATAGCCCAAATCATGGGAATGCACTTTTATAGGGCAGGATTTCTCACATACACCACTGCTCTGCCTCCCACCAGGAAAACGATCTCCCAGTAGGCAGTGAACTCCCACCCTGACGCTGAAATTAAAGCCGAGCTGCGGCTGGGCTGGGAGCCAGGAAGATTCCACCCCAGCTGCTCTGCCGCCGAGTGGGTCAGTCCCCAGCCTTTATCTTTGTCAAGCAGCATGTGTGAGCTGGCAGCCCAGAGAAACAGGCCATAAAAGGCTCACAGACACCAAATGCAACATGACCAGCATTTTTAAGGGACATTGAGTAGCATTTGTGCAAAGCCTGGCATCAACAAGCCTTAAAACTTTATATTTTGAAGTCGCACTGATACTGCATTAGCAAACTGTAAAGTAAAAAGACAGCCTTTTCTGCATTCCCAATGCCTGTTACTAAGAATAAAATGGAAGATGCCAGTGAAATAATATTTAAAAAGTGATTATAACTTAGGCAAGCAAGACAGGGTTCCAGAGGAATCTATCTCTGTGAGCTTGAACCCAAGATGATGACCAGTACAGCATGGCAGAGATGCAAGTCTGATGAGGAGCAGCCTGAGGGAGCTGGGGGTGTTCAGCCTGGAGAAAAGGAGGCTCAGGAGGGACCTTATCGCTCTCTAAAACTGCCTGGAAGGAGATTGTTGCCAGCGGGGTGTCAGTAACAAGTAACAGGACAAGAAACAGCCTTAGGTTGCACCAGAGGAAGTTTAAATTGGATATTAGGAAAAAAATCTCTTTCCCAAAAGTGTTGCCAGGCTTTGGAACAGGCTACCCAGGGAAGTGGTGGAGTCATCATCCTCGGCAGTGTTCAAAAAGCATGTGGATGTGGCACCTGGGGCCATGGCTTAGTGTGGGTGTGGTAGTGCTGGGTTTATGGTTGAACTCCATGGTCTTACAAGGTTTTTTCCAACCTAAATGATTCACTGATGTCATGCAGCGTGATTTAAATGCATACCCTCTTCATTCATCTTCCCAGGAACTTGCTTTGTACTTTTTGCAGTGTCTCTGCCCATTTACTTTTTTTTTGGTCCTTTTAAAAATAAGATAGGTGAAAGCTACACCAGGTCTGACTTAATGTCTCATAAGCTTCAACTTTGCTCCCTACACACATTTTATGAGCTCTTGACTCAGTAATTGAATTATTTACTTCCAAATTTGTGTAATGAATTTCACTGGACTTCAGCAATCTAGATATGAATGTCCCACTGAAAGCATTCAAAGCTGAGTTTCCCACATATACAGATGCCTTATTAAATTAAATCCAGAAAGTTAATGGTAAATAGGACAACACATTTTCAAACCACTAAGTTACCCCTCTTTCACATGAGGTCAGCATTCTCCTTGCTCTGCCAGATTCTTTTCCCTCTTGCTTCTGTCTAACTCACAGGTACAATGCAGAGGTGAGGGATGATTGAACATTGTTGATTCTTAGCAAATTGCGATTCCTTTGCAGATTGCTCAATCTCTCTGTGGCTGCAGCTGTACTAGCACACTGTTCCTACACTTGGAAGCAGCTGAGAGAACACAAACTCTTCATACTTGGGTGACTGTCATCTGAAGTCCTCTGTTCCCCCTTCAACGGAGATGAAAGATGCAAATGATCTTTGTGTGTGACTAGAGCCCTTTGTTTTTCTTTTTATTCTGAGATCAATCATCTTATAGGCTATTGCAGTGCAGAAGCCCAACAATTATCCAGAATTAAAGGACAGCGGCTGAATGGTATGAATGCCTCTGAGACAACACAAAGAGCATGAGCTCTGGTATTTTTGAGAGCAGAAAAACCTTAATGTCTCAAATGTGGGGATGGGTACAAAAAGTCAACATCTGGATTTCAAGAACTATAACAACCCTCGCTTTTTATACGAATTTCTTTCCCAATTCCCCATATGTTGGACCATGGTGTGAAATGGGCAGTAGCATACACATGTGCAAGCTGGGTGGAGAATGGATTGACAGCAGCTCTGAGGGGCAACACCTCAGGGGTGTTGGTGGCTGAGCAGCTCAACATGACTCAACAACCTGCTCGGGCAGCTCAAAGGACTCCTCTGCCTTTCTGGGCTGCCTGTGGGCAGCAGGCCAAGGGAGGGGGTTCTCCCCCTCTGCTCACCCTGGTGAGACCCTACCTGCAGTGCTGCATCCAGCTCTGGGGCTCCCAACATAAGGATGTCAACATGTGGAACAAGTCCAGATGAGAACATGAAAATGCTGAAAGGGCTGGAGCACCTTTGCTGTGGAGAGGCTGAGAGAGTTGGGGTTGCTCAGTCTGGAGAAGAGACAGCTCTGGGGAAACCTGAGAGCTCCTTCCAGTACCTGAAGGGGCTACAAGAGAGCTGGAGGGGCACTTGGAAAAGGGCATGAAGTGATAGGACAAGGCGGGAGGGCTTTAACCTGAAAGAGGGAAGGATTATATTGGATGATGAATTAGTCATCTGCTTACACAGGTGAAACTGAAGGAGGAAAGGAAAAGCTGTTATTTCTTCCATGATCCAAACCAGGAATCAGAAAAAGATCTACAGAGAAGCCAACTGCAGAATGCTCTCAGTAGCAGATTGGAAATGTTCATAGCAGCCTTACATTTTCAGCTTGTTTTAGGCATCTTGAAATTACAGATGGAAGAACTTTTCCACAGCCCTGCATTATCTGATTCTCAGCAGCATTACAGAAGGCACTCACTCTTTGCCTGGTATGTTATATGGAAGGGGGTCAAGGACAGCATGAGGGGAACAAAATAGTAGAAATTTGATCCAGTACTTAGCAAAAGAGAGAAAGATGCCAAAATTTTGATACTGAAAGTATCTGCTGTGCCCACCAAGCATCCATTGTGGTCTGGAGCCTATGGACACCATCTAAATTAGAAACACTACTGAGATGACAAACTGCACAAAATACTGGTGAAGTGCAAAAATGAGGGGAAGAAAAAGCAAAAAGTCTGTAATGAGCTCACTCAGCTTGTCAAATATCTGCCCAGACACAGCCTCCTAATG